TCCTCGAACTGCCGCTGCCGCCTCGGCCGGGTGCTGTCGGACCCCTCTCGCACCCAGTGGAGGCTGCGCTTGTGCTGGATGAGCGCATCTCCCGGCTCCATCTCGCTGTAGGGCTGGAATGGGATCGGATCCCGAAGTACGGGCACCAGGAAGCTGGAGTGCCTCCCAGCTGCGCCTCCCTGCAAGGGCACGGGCCTCGGAGTCGGAGTGACGAGCGGCGCCGGCATGGCGGGCCGCCGAACTGAGGGGGGGGTGGCACAACCTTCAGCGAGTGCGCTGGGCAACATGCATGGCTTCAGCCCAAATGGCTTGAGCCAAAATGGCTACGGGCTCCTCCACCTCCTCCTCCTCCTCCTCCTCCTCCTCCTCCTCCTCCTCCTCCCCCTCCTCCTCCTCCTCTTCCTCCTCCTCCTCCTTCCTCCTTCCTCCTCCTCCTCCTCCTCCTCCTCCTCCTCCTCCTCCTCCTCCTCCTCCTCCTCCTCCTCCTTCTACTCCTCCCTCCTCCTCCTCCTCCTCCTCCTCCTCCTCCTCCTCCTCCCTCCTCCTCCGCCTCCGCCTCCTCCTCCTCCTCCTCTCCTCCTCCACCTCCTCCTCCTCCTCCTCCTCCTCCTCCTCCTCCTCCTCCTCCTCCTCCTCCTCCTCCTCCCCCTCCTCCTCCTCCTCCTCTCCTCTTCCTCCTCCTCCTCCTCCTTCCTCCTCCTCCTCCTCCTCCTCCTCCTCCTCCTCCTCCTTCTCTCCTCCTCCTCCTCCTCCTCCTCCTCCTTCTACTCCTCCTCCTCCTCCTCCTCCTCCTCCTCCTCCTCTCCTCCGCCTCCGCCTCCGCCTCCGCCTCCTCCTCCTCCTCCTCCTCCTCCTCCTCCTCCCTCCCTCCACCCCCTCCTCCACCCTCCCCTCCTCCTCCTCCTCCTCCTCCTCCTCCTCCTCCTCCTCCTCCTCCTCCTCCTCCTCCTCCTCCGCCTCCTCTCCCCAGAACGAGACGATCGAGAAGTTCGTGCCCGGCCGGCCGTCCGCCTCCACCTCGCAGGCGCCGGGCGCCGAGCCGCGCCTCCCGCTCGCTCGCCGCGCCGCCTCCTCGGCGAGGGGCCTCGGCCCCCGCCCGGAGCGAGAGGCGCCTCGGTCTCGCTCGCCGAGCGCGTTGCACGACTCGTAAAGTACAGTGCCGTGTTTAATACATGCTCCGCGTGCGGATCCTGTATTAAAAATGCAGGGATACATTGCTAAAAACAACGATGAGCTCATGCATAAATTCACTCGTAAATTAATCATGTATTAAAATCCCATGTTTCTGAAACATCCCATATATTAAAAACTGCCCTGTACTTACTCATGGTTCATGTCAAGTTCTTCGTTTCGTTTTTTGAGGGGCCAAGATCCTTCCATTTCTGATTGTTCTATCCTGGGCCTCTTCCTGGCCACTAGTGGGCCAGGAACAAGTAGAAACGAGCACGATTAGAAATGAGCACGATTAGAAATGAACGACGTGTACCTCGGCCTCGTCAAGCAGTGGCGAAGCGTCCCGGCTCGCCTGTAGGCCCACCAAAGAGTGCTCTAAGAACCTTTTGTAGTTTTCACGTGATGTTCTTAGAACATTTCTGGCGGAGTCTGTCTTGTTTTATCACGTCGGGTTTATGTTCTAAGAACATTGTTTTTGTTCTTCGAACATTTGTGGGTTCTAGGAACATTTCGTGGTAGGACTATCGGAATGCCGGGACGGTCGGTCCCTGCTCAAGCCTCGGCCTCGCTCGCCGAGCGCGTTCCACTCGGAGAAGAGAACAAGCGCTATAAACGTAATTTTTTGGCGCTGCGCGCGCGCGTTTCTTGGATCCGCGCTGGGCCCCCTCGGCGGCGCATCCGGCACCGCCCGTGGCGCGCTCCGCGCGCCAGGGAGGGGGATCCGGCGCGGTTCCAAGAAATCCGCGCGGAGTGCCACAAGTTCATGTTTGTAGCGTTTTTTCGTCTTCTATCCATGACTCGCAGCGTGCCTACACGCAAATCTTCGAGATCAAGAGCACACTGTCGCCTCGACGGAATCGATCATACCTCCCCCGCGGCCGAGCGCGTCATCTGGCCCATTTGCGAGCAGCCGCTTTGCGAGTGGTGGAGCGAGCTGCTGTTCTGCTCGCCGCCGCGGCCGAGCGCGCCCGGTGAGGCCCCCAGGCTGCGCGCGGGCAGCCCCCGCAGGTGGCCCCCGCTGGCCTCCAAGGGCCCCCCTATGGAGTAGCACCAGCCTGTTTCCACGCGGCGGCGCGAGCGAGTGGTGAAGTCGGGCCTGTACCTCCACAGGAGGAATCTTCAAACCTAGTCAAGCAATAGTCTTGGGCCGATGTTTCTACCAATTGTTTGAATACTTTAGGGTATTATTTGGCTATGTTTAATGTTTCGCTTAAAGTCGGCCTGTAGGGGGACAGGCCCGACTTAAGCGAAGGGGGGGGAGTGAGGAGGAGGAGGCCTCCTCAGAAGTCTAGGCCTCCTGGATGGGGTCGGAGTCGGTGGGGTCGGAGGATCCCGCCGCATCGCCGATGCATCGGGTCCGACGTCGCCGATGCATCGCCGACGTCGACGATGCATCACCGCTGCGTCGCCGATGTGTCGGCGATGCGGCGCGATCCCCCAGCCCCATCTGCTCCGACCCCGTCTGGGAGGCCTCGAAGAAGGAGGCGGGGCTTCCCGGAAGCTCTCCCACCCTCTGCGAGGCCGGTTCGGTGCCTCCGGAGGAGGGATGGCTCGGAGCAGCTCTCGGAAGGCCGGGGGGACCTCCGAGCCTCCTGAGCAGCCCGCCCCTTCTCACTTCCCCCCTCTGGGCCTGCGCCCAATCTCAGGAGGGAAAGAAACACACAGACACAATTAATCCTCGAATCCCCAGAAAATATGGGAAAATATGGGAAGTGGGGGGGAAGACAGAAACCCAGAAAATATATGAAAATATGGGGGATATTTTTATTTGTGTGTATTTATTTGTGTGTCCTGGGGCCCCTTCACAATCGACAGACCCCCTTTGAGCAGTCTGGGGCGGCCTCGGCACCCCGGCGGCCCGCCTCCCGCGGCGCCCCCGAGGCGCGTCGCGCCTCCCGGGGTCGGGGCGCTGAGGCCGCCCTTGGGCCACTCGGGGGGGGGGGGGGGGGGCCTGCTGCGGCCGGGTGGGGCTCCTGGGGGTGCCTGCTGAGGCGAGCTGAAGCCACCTGCTGATGGGCCTGTTTTCCACCACCACCACCACCATAAGTTGGAGGGGGAGGGGTTCCTCCTCCTCCTCCTCCTCCTTCTCCTCCTCCTCTTCGTCCTCCTCCTCCTCCTCCTCCTCGTCTTCCTCCTTCCCCCCTTCAACTTACGGTGGTGGTGGTGGAAAACAGGCCCATCAACCTGCGGGGTGGCTGTCGGTGCGCAGCCAGAAGCCTTCCCAGGCTGCACCGTGCGCGGTGGCTCATCGTGCGCTGTGGTGGCCCGGTGCCGAGTCGCGTCGAGCGCAGCACGTGTGCGGTCTGGCAGGTGGCATCCAGTACGTGTATATTGGTCTGGCTTCGGTGTTGGGCCGTCGCGTCCCCTTGTAATTGTCGCTCTCCTCCTTCTTCGCATCCTCCTCCTATTCCTCCTCTGGGCAAGCTCTTCCTCTCCCTCCTCCTCCTCCTCCTGCTCCTCCTGCTCTTCCTCGCTTCCTCCTCCTCCTCCTCCTCCTCCTCCTGCTTCTCCTCGGCACCTCCTGCGCGTTTGTCTAGGGCATGTGTGTGTGCGTGTGTGTGCCGTTAGAAGCTCCCGATTTGGGGCCCCCCCACGGGGGCGCTTTCGGCCCAAGCGTGCGTTCCACGCAGGCGGCCAATCGAATCGCTGACAATGTTAGGGCGTCGTTAACCCGCGTGGGTGGTGGTCATCGGTTCCCCCCGACTTTCTGACATCGGCTCGGCGAGGCTTGATCGGTTTGGACCACCATCAGCATGGTCATCGTCATCCTCAGGGGCAATAGCACTATCACCATCCAACCCGTCCTTACGAGTATTACCATCATCATCATCATCACTTGATGTGCCCTTTTCCATGTCCTCATCCTCGTCGTCCTCCTCTCCTGTTCCTTCTCTCCATCCCCTGTGTCCATCGTTCCTCATGCTGTCTACTCTTGTGGATCCTACACCTGCTCCTCATCGTCCTATTCATTCCTTTTGTTTCTCCCCTGCTCGTCGTCATCTGTCTTCTCTTCATCCTCGTCGTCGTCGTTTGCTTTCCTCGTCGCCATCCTCGTCCTCGTCCTCGTCGTCGTCATCCTCGTCATCATGTTGGTCCTCGTCGTTTGCGATCACCGTCGATGTCATCCTCCTTGCCAGCATCCTGCTGTTCACCATTATCGTTATTATCCCCCTCTTCCTCGTCTGACCTTTCTCTCTTGACGCTCTGCCTCCTCACCCTTCCATCGTCAGGCCTTGACCATCTCCCACATATTCTGCGCAGAGCCTCCTCCCTCGCCTTGTTCCCCCTCAGGCCCTCTCCGAGTGCATACCCCTCGTCCCTCGCTAGGGCCATTGCGCGGGCATCTTCAATGAGGAAGAGAGCAGTCGGAGGGAAAGGAGGAGTAGGAGGAAATGGAGGAGGACAAGGAGGAGGAGGAGGAGGAGGAGGAGAGGGATAGCGAGGCGGAGGAGGAGGAGGGGTAGAAGGAGAGGCGCCTAGGAGGTTGGCAGGAGAGGAAGGCAGAGGGGGATGGCCAGTCAGAGGAAAGGGCCAGGATGATTAGGAGAAAGGACGGAAGAGGAGTATGAAGAGGAAGAGGATAATGAGAAGGAAGAGGAGCGGGCAGCGGGATTAGGAGGAGCCTCCCCCCCTCACCCCCTGTGTTCCGCCCGCTTTCCCGGGAGCTCCCGACCATGTTAAACATGATTGGAACATCTTACAGCCTCTATCTCCTCCTGCATCTCCTTCCTCTTCCTTCTCCTCCCTCCTCCCTCCTGCTACCCCTTCTCCCATATGCTGTCTCGCTGCTGGTCGGCCTATCCCCCTTCCCCCCGGCCTTGTGTGACATGCAGGCCGGTGCCCTGAAGCAGCTCCGCGAGTTCCTCGGGGTCAGCAAGGAGCTGATATTCTACAACTCGCGTCGCCGCCTCGGAGCTGACGACACGCGTTTCTATGCAGTTTTCGGCGGAGGGGTTTCTGGTGGTGGGGGGCGGGGCAATGATCAGACAAGCCGAAGCCGAAACCGATTTCCCGATCTGGGTGACCTCGTTGCACTTCAGTCTCGCCCTCCAGCCTCCAGTGGATTGTAGCTCCCCTTGCTGCTTGTACTCAAGGTCTTGACGGCTTGGTGAGAAGCTTCGAGTTGATCGGCAAGAAGAACTTCGAGTATTTCGAAGACAGGCGCCGCCAGCGTTACCATGAATCGTCGGGCGCCGGTAAAGTAGCATTGGGACGTGTGACATCGGTAACCCTAGCAAGCCGGAAAGGATGGACTGTTGTCCGAGCGTTTGAAGGGTGCGCGCTCCGCCAACGGCTGTGAAGCGAAGCAGCTTTGTCCTCCAATGCATGTAAGCAGCAGGCGCACACGCCGTTCCCTGGCAATGGGCTCGACATGTGTTGTTCCTCTTTTTTTGTCCTGGAGGGTGCACACATGCGGCAGGGAGCAGAGAGTCCCGACGGAGAAGCGAAGTGCAACCTCTTTGTCCTTGCAGCGTTTTCCCTTCGTTGGTCAAGCCAGGGCTGCGCGACCCGCTCCGCTGCCGCCGCCGCTTGGCGCATGTTGTTCGGGCGGTGCTGCTTGTTGGTGCTGTCGACGGAGTGTGGTGGAGCACAGTGGAAGCCCATGCCAAGAAGGAACACCCCGATGGCCTCCAGGGTGCCCTGGGTTTCTTGCGTGCCGATGGTTGTGCTATGGAACGCGTGGCGTTCCCGCACCCAAACTCAGTGGACGTCCTGGGGTCTCGGGGTCGGGTTTCTTGCGGACAGGTTCTTGTGGTCGGCCCCCCGACTGCAGTGCTCTTCGGGGCGATCATTGGTGTGTGGCATCTGTTTCCTTCCTGTCGGGCATTGCCAGGCGCATCGGCAGGACGGGCGGATCCGCCTGGTTGCCCAGGTCTCTCAGATTCGCTGGGCCAGACACCACCGAAGATGGGACATGCACATCGCCGACCAGACATAAGAGTGACCCTTCGCCAGAGTGGCCTTCGGTGCGGGCCCAATGGGGCCCCCCGATCGCCGGAACCGGGGCGGCAGTGGCGTCTTGCGCGCCCGTGTTTGGCTCCCCCGCGGCCCCTCAAAAGCCGCGCACCAAAGGCCACTCTTACAGTGAGCGGCTTGAATATAAGGAACGCTTACTTTTCAAAAGGGGCTCGGTCGTTCCTTAGGCTTGCATGCGTTATGTATCGTTACCTAAGCGTTATGTATCATTTGTTCATCGTTCCCGATGCGTTATTCCTTGGAAGAAAGGGGCTTCGTTCCTTATGTATCGTTCCTTAGGTCAGGCCGATGACTGTACGCAGGGTCACTCTTGCGTGCAGCCGGTATCGACAGCAGGTCAGGGCGGTTGAGAAGGTGTCCACCGCAGGCCAGCCAGAACTGGGGGAGTTGTGGTCCTTACCCCCCTGGGGGACCCATCGATCTCGACACCCCGCTCGAGAGCTCGTCGAGGCGATGGGTTCCCCCAGGGGGGTAAGGACCACAGCTCCCCCAGTTATGGCTGGTCGGAACCGTGTCAGGCTTCCGAGCCTCGGTGAGTACATAAGGTCGCGCGGCGCAGGTCCGATGTATCCCCGAGCCAGCCGCGCAGAGGCCCGCAGCTCCTCCCAGAGGCGTCGCGCCGCCCGTCGCCCGCACGCTCTGCCCAGCTCTGGGCGGGCGCCGTCGTGCCCAGCTCTTTCGCGGCGTGGCAGGGAGCAGACGAGCGCAGAGTGCTCAGGTCTCGGGTTTCAGACGTCGTCTCGTGTCGCCCGCGCCCCTCTGCGCCCCCCATTCCCCCTCCCTCTCCTCCCCCCTCCTCCCCCTCCCCCCCCCTCCCACTCCCCCTCCTCATCCCCCGCCTCCCCCGCCCCCTCCCCCTCGTCCTCCCCCTCCCCCTCCCCCTACTCCTCCTTCTCCTCCTCCTCCTCCTCCTCCTCCGAGAACAGCTCTGTCCTAGGCCGTTTCCCGACAGTCCGCGGGAAGGAGCGCTGGTCGTCAGCCACCTGCGCTCTGCCGTGCATCCTCGCTGCTGCGCTGGCCAGGGACGACCGCCTCGTCTACCACTCCGTGACGCTCGACCCGCCCGGCGGCGGCGACGGCAGGAACGGCAGATCGAAGGAGACTCTGGCGCGCCTGCACGTATGGTCCAGCGGCTCCCTGCTCGCTGCTAGGTCTCGCTGCTAAGAGGCTGAACAAGGGCGCCCTCGAGGGCGCGAAGCTATTCGCGCTTCGCGGTTCGGCTCCGATTCCGCCTCATCCTCCTCTTCTCCCCTGGGAGGCGGCGCGAGAGCGCCAAGTTATTCGCACTTCGCGCTTCGCGTAGTGCGCAGCGCGAAGTTGGGAGCCCTTGTTTCTCTCGTTCAGCATGCCACCGGTGTCGGTGATGCGGAGGCGCACCAGGCTCTGTGAGCTGTCTTTCCCAGCTGTGCGAAGGCCTCTGCCAGGTGGGGCCGCGCCCCCCATCCTTGCAGGAGTCTCTTGCGCAGCACGCCCCCCCAGGGTGTGACACGATTCTGGAATCGATGATGCATGATACGAGGAGGGAGGAGGGAGGAGGGAGGAGGGGGTAGGAGGACGAGGAGGAGGAGGAGGAGGAGGAGGAGGAGGAGGAAGCCATGTGCCCGTCCCGGTGGGCTCACTGGCACGGCCCGCACAGGGACAAAGGCCGCCCCCCACGGCGGTCGCGAGGGAGGTTTTGGCCTGGCCCCTGGCGGGGACCGTGCCGCCCGCGGGCCCGGTGAGTTCTGGAGCCTGTGCGGCAGTGCCGTCCGAGCGCCTGCCCGCACGCTGGCCCATCCGTCCCCCTCCCATAGCGCGGGGCTCACGAGAGAGGGCCCGTCCGTGGACAGCATGTTCGAGCCCCCTGAGGCCCAGGATGCGCCCCCTGGACCCCCCCCCCGAACTGAGTATGGATGGCGTGGCGACGGAGGGGGCGCGAGTGGACAGCAATGCTCGAGCCCCCCCCCAAGCACCGCCGCCTCTGCTGAGAACAACGTTGATGTGGGGGGCGTGGGGGTGATGCAGAGTGTCCCTCGAATGTGTAAGCGTTCGAATCTATTGTCCATCTACTGGCCCTCCGCCCTCCACCACCACGTCTCTGGGGAGCTGGGATGACTTTCGGAGGAAGCTCTCGCGACCACTGCCCGAGGGCGCTGGCGCATTCCTCCTCTCCGCGGCTTTCGCGCAGGGGCTCGTCGAGTCGGGGATCGATTTCAGAAATCATTCACCCCAGAGCGGTTCTTGTCGTCCAATCTGCGACACGTGCGCCGAGTGCTCCGTATGTCTACGGAACATCCTGCGTCTTGCTTGTAGTTTCGATGACAAAATCAATTAAGCGCATCTTAGGGGGCCTCGTCTGTCCCCAAAATTGGTGTCTTTTTCTTGTGCCCGACGCGGGCTCGATGTGGACTCGACGCGGACCTGGCGTGGACTCGACGCGGATTCGGCACGGATTCGACACGGACTCGACGAGTTCGACATGGGGTCGACACGGACTCGACGCGGGTATGGCCGCGACGCGAGAGACAGGGTCCGGCCCGAGGATGCAACAGTAGAAGTCAATTTTGGGGTCAGCCAATTCTGCTCGCCCGCAGCGTCAGGCTTCCCACCGCGAGACCCAGAGAGCCTCCGGGGGCTACATGCGAACCCCACCCTCCCCCTCAGAAATCGTGGGGGGTAGGGGTAGGGTTCGCATGTGGCCCCCTAAACCTGTCAGGTCCCACCCCCCAGGGGACGTCGAGGTGATCGCACTCTTCGCGCGACGCGGCCTGGGCCGCTGCCCTCGAAGGAGGGACAACTGCATAAACATAGCTTGTCGGAGCAGCGTAAGTCACAAGCTGCATTTACAAAAGTTAGAGGCAAAGCTCGAGACACATCTGCACGAGCTGCAGCTAAGAGAGAAAAGCTGCATATCAACAGAGCACTGCATAAGACTCTAAGACAAACACCAACTGCCCTCCGCGCGGACTGCTCGCACATCGGCGCTGGGCCCCCCCGGGGGCGGCGAGTCTCTGCTGCCGCCCCTGGCCGGCTCCGCGCGCCGGGGAGGGGGTCGACCTCCGAGAGGCGATGCTTACGCCGCACGTTGTTCCTCGATTCGGCGGCGGGCCCGCTTTTTGGAAGCGAGACGGGGCGGGCCTTCTCGGGAGGCTCGGAAGGCCCCGGGGCCTCCCGAGAAGTGTTCCCAAGCCTCCACCGACGACGCAGAGAGCTTCTCGCGAGGCCGAATAGGCTTCCGAGGAGCCCCGCCGTCTTCCGAGGAGGCTTGCTCCTTCGAACTTCTCTCCTGGGCGCGCCGCCGTTCTATGCCCGTCTCCAGGGTGGCCTCGCAAGGATTCAAGGATCACCGCGCGCCGCGGGGGGCGCGATGCGCCGAGTTGGCCGGGGCCGCGGCAGGAGATGCTCCAGCTCGACAGCGTGCACAACGTGGAGCTCCCGATCCGGAAGATGACGGACGGCACTCTCCCCTCGCCTGCCCCAAACGCCCCCCCCCCGTTCCCGCGCAGATTGCGGGAAGGGGGATGTACAGCACCCGCCTCATCCGCACTCACCGCCTCCAGAAATCACCTGCACGTGATTCGTCTTACCACGTGCGCGTAGCTACTTCATGTTGAATAATGTGACCTCAGTTATGTCATGCGTAGTAGCACATTCGTGGCGAAAGGTCGGGCGAGATTCCAATCGTTTTAGGGCTGCTCCAGTCGGTGTTTCGAGAGAACGGGCTGATTTGGGCCAGATTCGGGCACCCTGCAGGGTTACAAACCCATGCGTTCCCCGCTTTCGGCCGTCCGATTGTCGCCGATCTGAAACCTAGTGAGGGACCCAAGAATTCCAATGGGTCCGTGGGGCCTTTTGAGAATAGGACATTGCCGTGGAGAACCTGCGGACAGGCCGGTTGTTTCTTAGACGTGTTTGTTGATTTTCGGTTCGTTTTTTTTTTTTTGTTTTGCAATTGTCCCCAGACAGCGTCAGTCGTCGTGCGCCCCTACCTTCGGTCGGCACACTATGATATGACGATTGCTATGCTGCTCGTCGTTTGCTTCCCGTGATCGAAGTATGTCAACGCGCGAAGTCTCACAATGAGCTTGAAGTTAAACGCGCTGTGCTAGTTCTGCGATGTCGCAGGGATAAATGGGGATACAAGGAGCCGTGCGAGGAAAACGAGGCGGAGGTAGGTCGTGCATGCGGTGGATGTGGTGGAGGAGGAGGACGAGGTAGAGGAAAAGGAGGAGCGGATGTAGAAGATCGGGATCCCAGGAGGATATGTTGCTTCTCCCTCGACAGCACGATCCTGAGTATTATCAGGTGCCGAGGTTGGATGTCGTCTTGCACGTGGTGTCACCGGTGTGGCAGAGAGACCTAGGGCGCTGTCGGCGTGGTGTTACGATCGTCTTCCCTAGGGAGCCCGCGGAGCCAATCCACGGTTTAGCATTTGTTTCAGTTGTGGCGACCGGCTAGTTGCGACCTGCTGTCAGGCATGCACAGGACGCAGCGCGAGGCGTTGGTGTCTTTCGAGTGCACAGATCAAAGCAATACGCGTTGATGTAGGTGCACTGCGGGAGTAGAGTCGCAATGGTCAAGCTCATGTGTGCTGTCCGCGGAGTGGTAAAACGATTCTGCGGCCGAGGAGAAGTACGCTAGGAACCCGGACGTGCCGGCCGACGAGGATCCACAAAAGATTTGCTACTTTCTTGCTGAGGCGCCACCTGGCTCTTGCTGTGTCCTTTCGGACGTTTCAGTGTGAACACTAGTCTCGGTTTGTGGTCAACCACTTGCTTCACAATGTGTTCCGACGATGATAGTCTTCCAGCTCGATTACCCGATGCGTAGGCCAAGGAATTTGTTTCTCATCAAGGTGCGGACAGGTTCGACAATCCGAGGTCGAACAATAACTGACCCCTCTCCCTGCCCTCTGAGGGCAAAGTCAGAGAAGGCAAGCCGCGCCTGGGTCCAGTCGCAGCTTGGAGGGGGAACGGTCAACACGCACACGAGAGCTTTAAGCTAGTCCTCCACTACGCCGCCCCGCGGCCCAGGCGAGCTTGGCAAATTGCTCCTCCCCCATGTCGTCTCCCTCTTCCTCCTCATCCTCTTTTCCCTCCAGGCCCTCCTCCTCCCCTCATCATTGACCCCGCTCACAGGAGCCCCTGAAGCAGCACGTTCACAGAGTCCAGCAGAATGCGGCGGACGGATCGAGACCCACCTCCTACCGCGCCAGTGGACGTGGGTCGTGGTTTTCACCAGCGGCGGAAATTTCGACCGGCAGCCTCCCTCCTACCCTCCTTCGAGGGGTCCACGTATACGCATCAGCTTCAAACGTGTACTCCAGAGTTCGTAATAAAAGGGAGGGGGTCTGGACCCTCCAAGACAAGCCAGTTCAGACCTCCCCCGTGGGGGAACCCTCCAAAACATCGTCCCCAGACCCCCCAGGCCCTCAAAGATAGCCAGGAAGAGACCCCCCCCGAAATGAGACCCCCCTCCCTTGATTACGAAATCTGGAGTAGTCCGCGTGGGAGCTGCCCGTGCGAGTTGTGATGTCTTCGTCGGCAGCCGTATGTTTGATTGAACATGTCGGAGGCGGGCGGATATCCAGAGCCACCGCCGCCTGTGGAGTTTTGACCCTCGGGGATCTCGGCAGGTTGTGGTTACATATAGACCCCCGCCTCGCAAACTTGTCGAGAAGTCCAAGCTTGGAGCGGCCCGTCTGGTCTCCCAAGGGTGGGGTCCGCGCGCTTCTTGGGAACACGTGAAAGTGCAGTCGAGCGGTCGGATCCCGCGTGACAGCTCACAGGATGAGAGGCGCCGAAGGGATGGTACACAACATATGTTGGTATCAACCCGGTGCCACCATACGCCCTACGGTGGCATACGTGGAATACCATGGCCGTGCAGGCACGATGTTTGAGGCAAACAGTCATGTCGAGCGAGTTTCACGTTCGCAGAATGTGCAGTTGAATGCGTCAAATATGGGCTGTGTGGGCTGTCTGTGGAACACGCAGAACATATTAGTTCCCCCATCGCCAGCACTTCTTTCATGTAGCGTGCCGTGGTAATGTGGCGCGGGAAGGGAGAAGTTCTGTTTCTGATTGCGCATTATAATTCTGCTCGTGCAAGCCCCAAACGTAACCACAGGCTCGTTCGGTAGCAAATCATGGGAGCCTTGTAGACCCTCGCGATTCCGTCCTCAGGGTGTGCTAGCGTCGATTCGCGTCCCGTAATCGACGGAAACAAGGCGCCGAATCCGCGTGGATGAGCGCCTACCTGCGTCGATCCAGCGCCGATCCGCGTCGCGTGGCGGCGACTCGCAAGCGCCCACAGGAGGTCCCCAGGAGTTGCCGCAGAGGGCTCCTGCAGCTCGAGCTCGCTCGCCCGAAGCTCGGGCTGGACGAAAGGGGAGGTTTGGGAAAGGGGGGGTTACGAAATTTGCTGCATGCAGCTGGTTTCGGCCTCACCGAGGGGCCCATTCCTCGATACATGGCCGCCTCCGGCGCCGAGAGGCGCCGGGAGAATCAGCTACGTGAGCTGATTCTCAACCCCCCCCCTTTGCTATCCCCCCCTTTCGCCCGACCCGAGAAGCGTACGGTCGCACACGCCAGCTGCGCAGGCAGCCCCGGTGTTTTTTCACAGCCTCTTTGGGCGCCGATCCCCATTGGCCACGGTGTGCTCCGTGCGCGATCGCCGGACGTGCCCGCGGGCGGCGGGGCGGGTGCGCGGGCGCGGTGTCGCCTTAGGGCTTTGATGCTCCAGCCTACTTTCGCCTTGAGCACCACGAAGAAGTTCGAGCGCCCAAGCAAGTGCCGAAACTCCAGGGTTTTCACGCGTCGGGCCCTGGGAGACACTCGCCCGACGCTGTTCCGAAGCTGTTTCGACACTCTTTTGACACTTCTCTGGGTGCTCGAGATTAGTTCATTGCTTCGCTCATTCCGCCGGCCCTCGAGCGCTCTATGGGGCCTCTTTGAAGCCTCTTGGGGGCCTCTTGGGGGCCTCTTTGGGGGCCTCCTGGGGGCCTCTTGGGGGCCTCTTGGGGCTCCTTGGCGGCGTCCTGGTGCTGGAACTTATGTCTGGGATGCGGTCCCTAAGTAGGATGGGAGCAGCATGCCCTGACCTTCCAGGAGGGCTAAAAAATAGCACCCGACTTAAAAACCTATACCAAAGCTATTCTACGTCTTGGTTTTAGGCTGTTTCGCTCAGCTTTTTAGGTTTTTAGGTCTCCAGTGCTAAAAAATAGCTCTCTGGAAGGTCAGGGTAACCTCGGGGACGTCGGGCAGCTTCGCTCACCAGGAGAGGACACGACGGGTGGGCCGGAGCGGCTGCGCTGCGCGCCAGCGGAGGGGGCGGACCGAGGCTCCTCCTGGAGCTTCCCCGGGCGCCCTTTTGGACCTCCAGCCTCTCTGGGGCCCTGCAGAGCCCTCCAGGTCCTGCGCTCTCCTCGGGCCTCCTCCTCCTCCTCCTCCTCCTCCTCCTCCTCCTCCTCCTCCTCCTTCTCCCTCTCCTCCTCCGCCTTCTCCTCCTCCTCCTCTTCCTCCTCCGCCTTCTCCTCCTCCTCCTCCTCCTCCTCCTCCTCCTCCTCCTCCTTATCCCTCTCCTCCTCCGCCTTCTCCTCCTCCTCCTCTTCCTCCTCCGCTTCTCCTCCTCCTCCTCCTCCTCCTCCTCCTCCTCCTCCTCCTCTTCCTCCTCCGCCTTCTCCTCCTCCTCCTCCTCCTCCTCCTCCTCCTCCTCCTCCTCCTCCTCCTCCTCCTCCTCCTCCTCCTGGGACGTCCTGCCGGCTTACCGGAGCCTTCTGGGGCGCCCTCGAGCCTCCTGGAGCTTCCCCGGGAGTGCCTGCCTCCCCCCTGCGGGCCTCCCGAGGCTTCCTGGGGACCCCTGGGGTCTCCCATGGGCAATCCTGGGGCCCGCTGGGGCGCTCTGGGCCCACCGCGAGCTTCCTGGCCCTCTTGGGGTCAGTGGCTTTCTCGGCCCCCAGGACTCTCTCCCGAAGCCTGCTGGGAGCCTTCCTGTGCTGTCGGGAGATTCCCTGGGTCTCCTGCAGCCTCCCGGGGCAGTCCTGGCGCTTCCCGCGGTCTCGCCGGTGGGATGGCCTATAGCAGGATAGCCTGCGGGGCTCTCCCGTTGGTGCATCCCTTCTGCTCCTCGGCGATGCCACGCCGTGCACCTCCTGACCTGGCGCCTTGTCTGCCCAGCGACAGATCTGGACGACAGGTCGCCATGGCTCTCCGCGGTGCCCCCGCGACGACGACGCGGCCGCCGTGACGACGACGCGGCCGCCGGCGCCCCCCTCCACGGCGGCCCCCGCCCGAGGGGAAGATCCGCGTGGACTACCACCGCGAGCCCGGGACCGCCGCGGGGCGGAGGGCACGCCCGCGGCGCCGCGGCCCCGCCGGGGGCCGGGATGAGAGCCTGGGCCGTGGGCCCGCTCGGGCGGCGCGCGGCGCTCTGCCGCGGCGGTGCCCATGCTCGGGCCGGGCGAAAGGAGGGGTTACGAAATTTTTTGGGGCGATTTTTTTTTTTGGGGGGGGGGGAGAAGAGGAAAACACTGAGAAGGAGGAGAGGGAGGAGGAGGAGGAGGAGGAGGAGGAGGAGGAAGGGCCGGGGGATTGGGAAAGGGGGGGTTACGAAATTTGCTGCATGCAGGTGGTCTCGGCCCCACTCGAGGGGCCCATTCCTCGATACACGGCCGCCTCCGGCGCCGGGAGGCACCGGGAGAGTCAGCCACGTGAGCTGGTTCTCAAGCCCCCCCTTTGCTATCCCGCCCTTTCGCCCGACCCGACATGCGCGGAGCGCAGCCGTGCGACCGCGTCTCTGCGGGGCTCGCGCCCCAGGGTCCAGGTCGCGAGTCCGAGGAGGCAAAGGTCCTCGAGCAGTGGCGAAGCGTCCTGGCTCGCCTCATAGCCCTACCAAGCAATGTTCAGATAACCTTTTGTGTGGTTTCCACGAAATGTTCTGAGAACATTTCTGGCGGAGCCTGTCTTGTTTTGCCACATCGGGCTTATGTTCTAAGAACATGGTTGTCGTTCTAAGAACATTGTTGGGGTTCTAAACACATTTCGTGGTCGGACTATAGAAATGCCGGGACGGTCGGTCCCTGCTCAAAAGGTACCCATACCTCTACCCTGTTCTCGTTTCCCTCTTTGCGTCTCCTCGGAGGCCCTCGTCGCCACCGCTGGGTTCGCCCCGAAGTGATGGTCAGAGTCAGAGAGCACCCCGGGAGAGGGCCGGAGAGTAGCGGTGTCGGTACCCTTATGGTTTCTCCCAGCGAGGGCGCGGATACGGGCAAATATCAGGAGGGGAAAAAACACGCACAGACACAATTAATCGCCGATTCCTAGGAAAATGTGCAAACATATGGGAAGTGGAGGGGGGAAGACAAAAAAAGCTCAGAAATATGTGGAAATATGGGAGATCTTTTGACTTGTGTGTATTCATTTGTGTGTCCTGGGGCCCCTTCAAAATACCCAGACATCCGACGTCTTGAGTGTTCTAATGCGGGGGGGCCGGCCGGCGGTCTGGGCCTTCCTCCCCCGGGGCCGGCGATGGGCGCCCCGAGACGTTCTATTGGACGGCCCCAGAGGGCGCGGCAGAAGGGCCCACAGAGGAGGCCGAGCGCGGCGAAGAGAAGGCCTCCCCGCCCCGAGTGGTCCTGTCCGCGACGCCGGGATGTCTGGAGACACTTTTTTACCGGCTCCGTTTTGCCGTTTTTTTGCCGGTTCCGACGCCGTTTTTTTTACCGGTTCCGTTTTGCCGTTGTTTGACCGGTTCCGGCTCTGATTCCAATCCTGGAGCCGTTTTTGTTGCCGTTTCCGGTCGCCGTTTTTTTGCCGTTTCCATTTTCAAGGGACACTGTTGGGGAAACGGTGAAGAACGGCCCTGCCGTTTCGGGGGCCCACAAAGGTCTGGAGACATTTGAGCGGCGCCAAAAGAATGTGGGCGTCTGCGCCGGCAGACGCGCGTGAGCCGCCCGCGCGTATAAGGTCGCGCGGAAGCGCCCTCGCTTCCAGCGTGGCGTGCCGCGCTGGCGGCCCGCGTGAGCCGCCACGCAAGGTCGTTGTGCCATCTCGCGTAAGGGACATGTCGGACGCGGCTAGGATGATGAGACATCCATTCCAGAGCGTCCCATAACGCCTTCAGAGCGTTCCGGGACGCCTTGAGCAGGCCGCGGCGCCCGATACATCCTCCAAAACCGCTGGATCTCTGAGGTTCTCGATCTATCCTCCCCCCCCGATGGTATCTTCGTCCTGGCTTCGTCTGCACGTGGAGCTTTCCAATGAAGAGCCTCGCCTTCGAGCATCGAAGGAGTTGGCACCTCGTCCTCGGCGGACGGGCGGCGGAAAGGCGGCGGAAGGCGGGCGGCAGTAAATGAGGCCGCCTCCACCGATAGCCCCACCAAGCAATGTTCTAAGAACCCTTTGTGGTAGGACTATGTCGTGGCTCCCTGCTCAAGAAAGATGTGCCCCCAAGAGATGGAAGCGTTGTTTGGGGTATGGAGCTTTTCACTCATGACAAGAGTCTGTTTCAGATCATATTGAGAATTCCTTGCAGTGAGTTCATTGCAGTGGTAAGTCGGAGATGAGAAAAGACTGCATTCGGCGACCTGGAGCAAGGCTCCTATGGATCTCGCTGTCAGCAGCTCACGTGGAGAGAAAGAACGTCATGGAATCATCATGGAGACAAGCCTGACGATGCAAGCAAGTCTTCACGACCACGACCACGACCACGGCCAAGACGACCACTACGACGACCACCTACGACAACGACGACGACGGCGACGACGTGTGCCGTTGGACCGCGAGGATCCTGACCTACCGGAGCGAGACCTACTTCAGCAGGGACGGCGGCCTCGAGCGGCACCCGCCGAAGTCGCCGCCGCCCACCGCACAGGAGGCCGCCCGCGCGGCTCCGGCGCGCCCCCCCCCCCCCCCCGCGGGCTCCCCGCACGCGTCGCGCGCCGCCCAGCCTCGAGCTGCGATGACGACGACGACGACGACGACGACGACGACGACGACGACGACGACGACGACGACGACGACGACGACGACTCCAACAACCGCGACGACCACGACGACCACGACGACCACGACGACGCCAACGCCCACCACGACGACGACGGCGACGACGACGACGGCACAGAGTCGAGCATTGGCGAAGCGTCCCGGCTTGCCTATAGACCCTCCAGAGAATGTTCTCTAAGAGCCCCTTTGTGGTCTGCACGAAAGGTTGTTGGAACACTCCTGGCTGGGACGGTCTTGTCTTAACGCATTATTTATGTTGAAGCTCGCTGAGGGGCAGCGAACGCGATCTGTGTTTCTGGGGCGACGGGGGAGAGGGCAATGCTTTTGTAGGGCAAGAGCAAGCATGAGCAGCCCGATCGTCGGCAAGAGCAAACATGAAATCAGAGCTTCTCGCGAAGGGCGGCTGTAAGGATTGCTGTTGACCGATCAAGCGCGCCCGCCGAGCGGAAGGGGATCTGGCCCTGGAAACAGCGCTGCCCCCCCAGCGACCTTCAATCTTTATGTTATGAGAACAGTGTTTCTGTGATTCGACCATGTCTGGGTTCTAAGAACTTTGGCGTGGTAGGCCTACCCATCGGTCGTTGAAAGTAGGTATTTTTGGATTCCCAGATTCCAATCTACTTTCAGCGCCTTCCTACTTCAAGAGTCGAGTGGTTTTCCCTTTACCTTCCTCTTCAGGAGGCGGGCGGAAACCCAATCTATTTCCGACGCCTTCCTACGTTATGTTTCTACCTATTTCTTCCGACCGATGGAGATGCCGGGACGGTCGGCCCTTGCTCAACCGCCGCGTGTTGCCGGAAGCGCCCCATAGCCCGAGGGGCCCCCACGGCCGCCAGAGGGCCCCCCCCGCGAGGCCCAGAGGGCCCCAGCGGCTCCTCGGACCAGGCGAAGGGCCGGGGGCACCGTGGGCCAGGGGCACCTTTGAAGCAGCCCCCCGACCCAGGAGTCGGGCGTTGCGCCCTGGGGGGGGGGGGGGGGGCGGTGGATGTCGGCGGCGAGCCTGGGGGGAAACGTTGGCGCTCGAGGTTCGGGGAAGGTGGAGGAGGCGGATGACGAAGAGGGGAAGGAGGAGGAGGAGGAGGAGGAGGAGGAGGAGGAGGAGGATAATGGATGATCCAGAGAGGGGAGCAGCGGAGAAGGAGGACGAGGACTAGGAGGAGGAGGCGCCAGTTCTCGGGCGTTTGCGTCGGTTCCCGGCGCATTTCCAGCCTCGGGATGCGCTCCAACGGATGCGCCTCGCTGAGAGCGTTCCGGGGTTGCGAGGATCCTCCCGAACGGCCGCCGGAGACCCGAGTTATGACCCGAAGCCCGTACTCGTCGGCGCGCCGAGGGGGGACGTGGGAGGAGGCGGGCCTTCTCAGAGGGCTTGGAAGGCCTTCTGAGAAGTCTTCCAGGTACAATCAAAAACCCTAATGAGGACGCGCGACTTTGCTCAGGGTACCCTTGCGTCCTTGCTCTTCCTTGCTCTTGCGTCCTTGAGGTTTTCGTCGCCCGCCGCCCCAAAAATCCCAACTTCGGCTTCCAAGGGTCTTGCGTCCTTACCGCGCGTCCTTATTAGGGTTTTTGACTGTATGCCTTCCCCGAGGACGCGGATAGCTTCTCAGGAGGCCCGGGGGCTTCCGAGAAGCCCCGCCGCCTTCTGAGAAGGCCTTCTCCTTCTCACTGCCCCCCGCAGGCGCGCCGCCGGAAGTGGTGGAGTGAAGGGATATGCACCTCTTGTGCCCCAAAGGAGATCGGAGGGGGCCCACAACGGGGCACGCGAGGTGCACGCTGCCCCCGACCCTCCGTTTGAGGCGTTCCATAAAGGGCCGTGCTTTCGAGGATCGAAGGTATTGCCATTTTTTCCTCGGCGGAAGGTCGGCGGAAGTAGAACGAGGCCGCCTCCGCTGGCGGAAGCCGGCGGAGGCTCGGAAGAAGGCGGCGGAGGTCAAAGATGTGCCTCCCATAGGTAAAAACGTTTTTGGGCTCAGGGAGTCCGAAATCGCCCATCTGTCGCGCCCCCCATCGATCTGGTTGACCCAAAAGGGGGTCCAGCTGCAAGGGGGTGGTGCAATAGATCTGGTGCTACAGAGTTGTGGCTTGCAAAAGATTTGGGGCGTGCAGTACCGTCCGGGGCGCAGATGTATTGCCGGATTTTCGCGTGCAGTGCAAAAGGTGCAACGCAAGGCAATACCATTATCTGGCGCAGTACACTTGCACTGCGGTGGGGGCGTCGGTTAAGGAATGCGCCCAGGAGGCTTCGGACCCCGGAGGATTTCTTATCCGATGAGGGCGGCGGTGATACCCATGGCCGCTCCACGGTTGGAGTGCCGCGGGCTTCCAGGCTCTGGATTCCTCATCCACTGCTTCCTTATCCAGAGCCTTTACAAGTTCCCCAAATCTTCATCCACCCTCTTTCAGCTGGTCCCCCTCTGAGGCCACCCAGGATGGACCAGCGCGCAGACGTATTGCTGGACTTCCGCGTGCAATGCATTAGCTGCAATACAAAAACAAAACCGTTCTCTGGCGCATTACACTTGCAGTACAATTGCCCCAAATCTGCATCCACCCTCGTTCAGATGGACAGCCTCTTGGGCCGGACCAGCGCGCAGACGTATTGCTGGACTTCCGCGTGCAATGCATCAGCTGCAACACACGAGCAGAACCATCCTCCGGCGCATCACACTTGCAGTACCCTTGCCCCGAGTCTGCATCCGCCCCACATGTGCAATTACCTGTGCAATACGATGGCCCCAAATCTGCATCCACCCTCTCTCAGCTGGACCCCCTCGTGGGCCACCCGGCATGGAGCAGCGCCCGCGGGTGGGCCCACGCGCAGGGGGCCTCCGCCCCGCAGCGCCCCCAGCGGGGCGGGGCGGCGGGGGGGCCCACCGCGGCGGAGAGGGGCGCGGCGACCGGGCCAGGAGCTCTCCAGGAGCCCCTGAAGCAAGCACACGGCGGAAGGGTGCTGGCAATCCCCTGCCTGGCCCAGACCCGCTCGCCTCGTGGAGAAGGAGGGGGGGGGAGGAGGAAGAGGAGGAGGAGGAGGAGGAGGAGGGGGAGGAGGAGGTGGAGGAGGAGGAAGAGGACGAGGAGGAGGAGGGGGAGGAGGAGGAGGAGGAGGAGGAGGAGGAGGAGGAGGAGGAGGAATGTTGCTGGTCGTCGTTTTCTTGTCAATTGTTCTGCCGGTCGGCGTGGGCCCCCGCACCCCCACCGCACACCCTGTAGAGTAGATCTTGGCTGTTTTGCGTGCCTGGTTCGAGCAGGCGGAGTGTCCCCCATAGGACGCACTGCTGCAAACAGTCGCACTGAGCAGAGGTCAGGAGCTCCCCCCGCCCCCTCCCCCCCTTCCACACAATGTCGAAACACCGAATAGGAAAACGATCACTGGCAATTTCCTGCCTTTGGGGGATCGGTCTTCACTCGTGGGAGCCGTGTCTGCCCTCGTCGTTTCGTCGTTCACCAGCGTCGATGAGCGGATGGTAGTCGCTGACAATGGCGCCGATCTTGCGTCGATTCAGCGTCGATTTAGTGTCGACTGTCGTCGATGAGCGTCGATTCGCGTCGATTTTGCGTCGAGTTAGCGTCGGCGAGCGCCGGTTCGCAAGGGCCAGCAGCGTGGTACACGCGAGGCTCCCTGTGGGCTGCCGCAGAGGAGGGGGTGGGGCCGTGCCGTGCCCGGGCCCCGTGGGCCGTCGACAAAAAAGCAGCTCGGGATCAGAATGTTGTGGGCCTCCCGGATGGGGTCGGGTCTAGGTGGGGCCGGAGGCTCGTGCCGCGTCGACGATGCGGACTCGACGTGGATCCGGCGTGGATTCGGCGCGGGTTCGGCACGGATTCGACGCGGATTCGACGCGAGTCCGACGCGGATTCGACACGGATTCGACGCGGATGGGGCCGCGACGGGACAGGCACGGCCCCCCGAGGAGGCAACATTCTAAGCCTCCCGGGTGGGGTCGGAGCAGATGTGGTCGGAGGATCGTGCCGCGTCGACGATGCGTCGGCGATGCGGCTCGATGTGGAGCCCGATTTGCTTCACGTCAACGTCGCCAGTGCATCGCCCGCGTCGACGATGCCTCGCTAATTACTCTGGATCCTTTAATAATCGACCCCCCCCTAAAAAACCGGACCCCCCCTTCCTTCGCGACATAATTTTCCGGACCCCTCCCGCAGAGGGCGCCTTAATATTCCGGACCCCCCCCAGCAAAATTGCAAGCGCGACGACGACGACGACGACGACGATACGAGAACTACGACTACGACTACGACGACGACGACGACGACAACGACAACGACAACGACAACGACGACGACGACGACGACGACGACGACGACGACGACGACTATGGGCCACCATCCTGCAACGTGTGTACTACGGGCCACCATCCTGGAGTGCCACCCTGCAGATCACTGCCACCGCCGCATCATTGCCACCGCCGCATCATATCGTGATGATGGTGATAACGACGATGATGAGGATGATGACGATGATGTTGAAAATGTTGTTGATGATGATGATGCTGATGATGATGATGATGCTGATGATGATGTTGGTGATGATGAACAAGATGATGACGATGACGATGACGATGACGACGATGGTGGTGATGCTGATGATGATGATGATGGTTAGTACTCCGCGGGCTAGTACCCAAAAGGCGCCCTAATAAACCGGACCCCCCCTGAACGTCGGCTTCAAGAAACGCCTTAATAAAACGGACCCCCCTGCTTCCCCAAAAGGCGCCTTGATAAACCGGACCCGGGGGACGATTATTAAGGGATCCGGAGTAGTGCATCGCCGATGCAATCGCCGACGCATCGCCGATGTACCGCCGGCCTCATCTACTCCGACCCCACCGAGGAGACGTCTAGAGAACCCGATCCCACGGAGGTGGTCCAGCCTTCTGAGGTCCACGTTGCGGCGGGGGGAAACTTGTGGCCAGGCATGGAAAAGCCACCCCAACGCCATGCTCTTTGCGACCACGAGACTGTCTTGCGCGTTCATGGAACGACCCTGTCGCACTCGATTCCCTCTTCAGCCGCGTTTGACCAATGGGCCTCGAGGGTAGGGGGTGCTCATCAGGCTGATTGGGAGTTTCAGTTCCCCTCGGCCTGGCTTGCACACGAGATCGATACATTCGGTGCCACACTGGTGGCCTAGACGCTGTGGATACCACACCCTAGCAGCTGGATCTATAAAAGACAGCTTGAAGGCTTGGCTCGGGTGACCCATGTTTCGATGCTCCTCAGGACGTGTGTTCGCCCAGTGTGTTTTATCACGTGCAGCTCCGCCGATGCCACGCAGCCTGTGTCGGTCATGATCACACCGCCTACGTGGTACTGAAGGGCTTCAGTGGAGAAGCATACGTTGGCGCTAACACGCGTTCTGTAGACCGTCGGCCTTTGCTCCTCACAGCCCGAGCTCCGCGCAGATTTCTTGATCGGCGCTGGGCCCCCCTGGCGATGCCTCCGACTCCACCCCTGGCGCGCTTCGCCAGGGAGGGGAGTTCAGCGCCGATCCAAGGATTCCGCGCGGACCTCAGAAATTACACGCCGGTCGTTGAAAGTAGGTACTTCTGGATTCCCGGATCCCAATCTCCTTCAAGCGCCTTCCTACCTCAAGAATCGACACGCTTTTCCTGTGTCTTGTGATTCCCTGGGGGGGCCTGGACCCAGTCAACTGAATCCGCCTTCCTACTTCAAGTCTTGACCTACTTCTTCCGACCCAAGCGTATGTTTACAGTCAACGCGCATAATAAGGACAAACGACTTTTTCAAGGGTACCCTTGGAACCTTGCCTGCCTCAGCCTCTTCGGCCCGTCCCTCGCAATTTTCGCAGGCCAGTTCCTCAGGTTTCCTGGGGGTTTGGCCGCCTGCCGCCCAGAATGCTTCAACCTCGGCCTCCAAGGGTCTTGCGTCCTTACCACCCGTCCTTACTATACGTTTTCATTGTACTTCTTCCGACCCAAGTGTATGTCTATGCCGCCTGACGCTCCTCTATGGATCGACGTCCTCGTGTGGCACGTGCCAGGCCAAGCGTGCCAGGCCTCCCCGAGCGTGCCCTCGACGGCCCGGGGTGCGGGCAAGCGCCTCCGTCCAGCCTCTCCTCCGAGGCGCTTGCGGTCTGGGCGTAGCTTAAAAGGCGGGCCTGTCCCCATACAGGGGCATTCTGGACGAAGAGTCAAAGATACCCACTATTCAAAAAATCGTCCCCTGACTATTTTTTGGACTACTTTTGAATCTGTTTGAAGATCCCCCCTGCAGAGACCCGGGCCCGACTCCAGTGCAGCACGGTTTTTTGAAGGCAGACCTGCCTTCAAAAAATTGGTCTACTCTGTAAGAACGGTTTTTTGAAGGCAGATCTGCCTGCCAACAAAATCTGTAAGAACGGTTTTTGGAGGCAGGTCTGCCTTCAAAGAGGAAAGACTGGCCTACTCTGTAAGAACGGTTTTTTGAAGGCAGATCTGCCTTCAAAAAACCGTTCTTACAGAGGGGCACGCCTCCGTTGGGAACCCATCTGCGTGCGCATGCCGCAGAAGCACCGGGCCTTCGGCCACACGCCCCGCATACCAGAAGCCAGCGGGTGTGCCGACGAGGCTGGCCGCCGGGCCGAAGCCCGACGCCCTCCTCCCCCCCCAAGCGGCCCCCTCGCTCCCGGCGCCCTCCTCCGGTGCCCCCCCGCCCTCGCGGCCCCCCTCCCGCCTTGCGTTGAGTCGGGCCTGTCCCTCCACAGGAGGAATATGCAAAAATAGTCAAACATAGCCTGGGGACGACTTTTTTTTGCATATGTATATATATATATTAAGGTTTGAATCTGTGTTTGACTAAGTTGAATGTTTCCTCGAAAATCCCTCTGTAGGGGTACAGGCCGGACTTAATCCTTGTGCGCTCCCTCCCGAGGGAGCGGCACGCTGGCGGGCTTCCCGGCGGCGGCGTGTCAATGATATTATCTTCTTGTTCCTTTCCCGAAGCATGGCCAGGCCCTCCCCGGGCCATGAGCTGGTTGACCCGACAAGGGGGTCCAGCGACAAGGTGGTGGTGCAGTAGATCTGGTGCGATATCGATCTGTGGGGTTGCAGTAGATTCGGTGCGGGCAATATGTGTTGCCGGGTTTCCGCGCACAGTGCGTTAGGTGCGATACAGTGCAATACAATTCCCTGGCGCAAGACTTTTGCAATCCACTTGCCCCACACCTATTGCACACCCCCTTTCAGTTGGACCGCCTTTTGGGTCAACCTAGAATGAACTGGTTTGTGGTCAGACCCTCCTCGCAGAGGTCCAGAAGCTCCTGCAGATGCAGGTCGCCTGCCGCGATCGCCTGGCGGAGGCGCAGCAGGGCAGGAACCAGGAGCTGATCCTGCGGAAGAAGGAGGACGCTTGGGCGGGCGAGGGGTGGTGAGGCTGAGCAGGCGTGTTATGTCTGCGGCCTTCAAGTCTAATAGGCCGCAGACATAGCATTAGCACTGTATAGTCTTCTGGCACATCGCACCAGCATCTTATAGTATAAGGTGCTGGTGAGTTGTGCCAGCAGCTGCGGCTCAACGAGAGCTTTCTGGGGGTGCGCGTGTCCACCAAGAAGGCTTCCCGGGGCCGATTGACATGTCGCGTCGGGCTTCGAGTAATAGGGGGTGGTCACTTGGGGGGGCGAAGAAACGTGCTTTTCTCGTACTCTTAGGTGCCCTGGAGGGAGAAGTCCCCGGAGGCCCAAGAGAGGCACGAAAGGCGCACGTCTCTCCCACCGCCCTTGTTATCGCCCCCCCCCCCAGTGGAGTAATACCCATTTAACTACTGGCACATGCCTGGCATGCGCGCCTAGGTCTTGAATGTTTCTCCTGCTCTTCTGGATGAGACCCCTGTCGGGCGCTGCCTGGCTCCTGCCGCTCGGAAGACGAGATGCAACCAGATTTGTGTGCTACCTCCCCCTCGAAATCAAGCGCAAGTTCTTCCCGCGACCTGGCGGCGCCCCAGGACCCCAACGTTTCAATGCTCGCGCCGAAATGAGCGACTGCAAACGCAAACATCTGACCCGTGGGCCGCGTTTTGCGCGTCGACCAGCAGTAACAACTTGCGTTTGCTTCCGAGGCGGGTTCTAGCTGTTCGTGTCGGACGTGCGCCTCCTTCATCGGCAAATGTCACTACGGCAGGTTCGCTTCGTGTCGACTGGCGGCGACCCAGAATCGGTCGATGTAGAACCATTGGACGTTGCGGGAACGGCCGATCGTTCAAGGTGGAACGATCCACGGTGTGTCGGAAAGCAACGCCAGGGTCGTCACGACGCGATCATGCCGTACTGGAGGAGGAGAAAGAAGAAGAATAATAAGATTAATCATATTAAGAGGAGGAGGAGGAGGCGGAGGAGGAGGAGGAGGCAGGAGAAGGAGGAGGAGGAGGAGGAGGAGGAGGAGGAGGAGGGATTGAGAGGAGAAGGAGGAGCAGAGGAGTGCGGAGGAGGAGGCAGGCGTAGGAGGAGAGGAGGAGGAGTAGGAGGAGAGGAGGAGGAGGAGGGGGAAGAAGAAGGAGGAGAGTAGGAGAGAGAAAGGAGGAGGAGGAGGAGGAGGAGGAGGAGGAGGAGGAAGAGGAGGAGGAGGAGGAGAGGAGAGGAGGAGAGGAGGAGGCAGGAGGAGGAGTAGAGAGGAGGAGGAGGAAGAGGAGGAGGGTAGGAGGAGGAGGAGGAAGGAGGAGGAGGAGGAGGAGGAGGAGGAGGAGGCAGGAGGAGGTGTCCGTCCTGCTGACGAGTCGAGCTTGCCGGGGGAAGTGCGACCCAGCGCCGAGCGGCTCCGCTGGAGGCTCCAACGCGCCCCTCGGCGCGCACGGCTCGCGCCTCTCCGGCTCGGCCAGCGCGACGGCCGCAGGCGGCGCCCCACGGAGTCGCGAAGGCTGCCGTGGGGTCGCGGAGGCTCCTCGGGGGGGGGGGGGGAGGCGCGCCAGCTCCCTCCTCCTCCTCCTCCTCCTCCTCCTCCCCTCCTCCTCCTCCTCCTCCTCCTCCTCCTCCTCCTTTCGCGGGGGCGTGCCCCGCTGGGCCTCTGCGCAGCCCAGGCTGCGTCCTCGCTCCGCCCTGGTCGCAGGACGGAGGCGGACTGGATCTGGACCCTTCGGGAGAGCAGGGCTGGGCTCTCCGGCCACGAGGTTTGGCGGGAGCACCCGGCGCCGCCCGGCGGCACACGGCTTCCCACCGACCAACATGCCAGAGCACCCTACCTTTAAGTCGAGCCTGTCCCCCATACAAAGGGATTTTCGACAAAAAGTCACAAAAATGCAAAAATGGTCCCAAAACAGTCGTGGGCCCATTTTTTGAGTATTCTTTGGCCTTTTGGGGGCATTTTTGGGGTATTTTTCCCCACATCCTGAGTGGGGTTCTTGTTTTCCCAGAACACCCTCTCCTTCCCACCCAACTCCCGCTCCATCTTCCATACAGCACAATATTATTCCTACCACACACACCATACCATACCATAGTTCCTACCACACATACCATACCATACCATACCATACCATACCATACCACACCATACGTACCATACCGTACCATACCATACCATGGCGTACCATAGCATACCATACCATATCACACCAATGCCACACCGTACCATACCATACCATACCTCCAGTACCATACCATACCATATCATACTACACCGTACCATACCATACCTACCATACCATTCCACACCATTCCATACCGAAAACCATACTACTTACATGGTTTCGTGCCCCTCCCACCCCTCCAGGGAGGCCCCGCCTGAGCGAGGAGGGTATCGGAATACTATACTATTTACATGGCTTCGTGCCCCTCCCACCCCTCCAGGGAGGCCCCGCCTGAGCGAGGAGGGTATCGGAATACCATACTATTTACATGGTTTCGTGCCCCTCCCACCCCTCCAGGGAGGCCCCGCCTGAGCGAGGAGGGTATCGGAATACCATACTATTTACATGGTTTCGTGCCCCTCCCACCCCTCCAGGGAGGCCCCGCCTGAGCGAGGAGGGTATCGGAATACCATACTATTTACATGGTTTCGTGCCCCTCCCACCCCTCCAGGGAGGCCCCGCCTGAGCGAGGAGTATCGGAAAACCATACTATTTACATGGTTTCGTGCCCCTCCCACCCCTGCAGGGAGGCCCGCCTGAGCGAGGAGGGTATCGGAATACCATACTATTTACATGGTTTCGTGCCCCTCCCACACCTCCAGGGAGGCCCCGCCTGAGCGAGGAGGGTATCGGCAAACCATACTATTTACATGGTTTCGTGCCCCTCCCACCCCTCCAGGGAGGCCCCGCCTGAGCGAGGAGGGTATCGGCAAACCATACTATTTACATGGTTTCGTGCCCCTCCCACCTCTCCAGGGAGGCCCCGCCTGAGCGAGGAGGGTATCCGAAAACAATACTATTTACATGGTTTCGTGCCCCTCCCACCCCTGCAGGGAGGCCCCGCCTGAGCGAGGAGGGTATCGGAAAACCATACTATTTACATGGTTTCGTGCCCCTCCCACCCCTCCAGGGAGGCCCCGCCTGAGCGAGGAGGATATCGGAAAACCATACTATTTACATGGTTTCGTGCCCCTCCCACCCTTCCAGGGAGGCCCCGCCTGAGCGAGGAGGGCATCCGAAAACCATACTATTTACATGGTTTCGTGCCCCTCCCACACCTCCAGGGAGGCCCCGCCTGAGCGAGGAGGGTATCCGAAAACCATACTATTTACATGGTTTCGTGCCCCTCCCACCTCTCCAGGGAGGCCCCGCCTGAGCGAGGAGGGCATCAAGAAAATGGGTCCCACGAAACCGTTAATCTCTTTATGTGGGGAACTCCGTTAGCATAATTTTTTTCCTCGGCGAAAATCCCCCTGCAGGGGGACAGGCCCGATTTAACCCGACCTACAGAGGACAAAGCCGTCAAGCGCCTGCGCGCACGCCTTGCCGCAGCCCTGGGGGGCGAGGAGGGGGAGTGGCCGCGAGCTCCGCACGGAGCCACTCTCATCCGTTGAAGGCAGAGGAAGGCAGAGGAGGGAGGAGGAGGAGGAGGAAGAGGAGGAGGAGGAGGCAGGAGGAGGAGGAGGAAGAGGAGGAGGAGGAGGAGGAGGAGGAGGAGGAGGAGGAGGATACAGCGTGGCTGTAGCGGCAGACGATCCTCGCGACAGTACTCGTGACTCCCGCGACAGGTGGAGGAGGAGGAGGCCGCGGTGGGAGGGGGAGAGGCAGCAACAGGAGAAGGAGGAGGAGGAGGAGGAGGAGGAGGAGGAGGAGGTGGAGGAGGAGGAGGAGGAGGAGGAGGAGGAGGAGGAGGAGGAGGGAGGAGTAGGGGGAGGGTCACGGAGGATGGCGGCGCATATGAAATATGTAGAGCAGGAGGTGGAGGAGGAAAAGCAAGGGAGGAGGAGGAGGAGGCGGGGTGCAAAAAGGAGGAGGAGAATGAGTGGGTTCGTCCTTGTCCCCTCGTGGCGTTCCCTCTTCTGCCCCCTGCTGCCGTTGCTCCTCCGGGGTCGTCCACCTCGGGAGACGCACGGCAGGCAGGGCGCGCAGGGGTAGATGTTCGACATCCCCGGTGCATGGCGTCGGCGACGTTGGGCGATTCGCATCTTCCTCCTTCCTGTCCGAATCAGTGGCCCAAACTTTTCGCCCGAGCCCGCCGGACAGCTTCGGACGGCCATCGCCGCGGCACGCTTTTGGCGTGTCGGGTTGACACGCTTGGTGTCCTTATCGCACGTGTCGACTGCAGTGTTGGCGCCTCGGGAGGATGTTCTTCGGGGGACCACAATTCACTTGGTAGCGCGACTTCGTTCGCTAGTTTTGCGCAAGTGTGGGTCCTTCGCCAGGCTAAGTTTTCCTTAGCATGGCAAAAGCCTGAAACATGCAAAACAATACAGCGGTTGTCCATGAGACGCTCCAGGAGCTGGATTGTGTGGGTGGCAGAGTGGCGTGGTGAGGGTTGGATGCTGGATGATGAGCAACAGGCTGCCGATGTCTCACAGGCGGGTTGGCCTGCAAAGCGTGACTTCGATTCGATCGTGATCTGGAGTTGGCGTGAGTACAAGACACCAGCGGGCCACTCTGTGAGCGCAGCCGTGGACCTCATGCATGGATTCGAAGTGGATCGACGAGGAAGTTCACGAGGCTCCGCAACATGGCGTGGTGAGCCTCTGCGGGGCAGGGAGGGGGCAGTCGCAGCGACGGCAACGGTATACCAGCGGTCTACCGCGCTGCATTGTTGCGCTGGTTCGGCGGATCGCATCAGCTAGTATCGTGTGCACGTGTACACGTCGGTCGTTGAACAATTGTACTTCTGGATATCCAGATCCTAATCTATTGTAGGTGCCTTCCTACTTCAAGGGTCGAGCGGTGTTCCCACCTCCCTCCTCTCCATGGACGGGAGGAGACCAA